CCAGCGTTGGAACGAGCCGGGCAGCATAGTCCTCAAAAGAAAATAGAAGCGGAGGACTGTCGACTTCCGCGTGCGCCTCGGAATGAAGGCTGGTCACTCACGAAGAAACCAGTTCCGAAGGCGTCGAGAGTGTCGTCGCATCACTCTTGGCGGTGCTCAGTTTCCCTGTCGACCCTTGCCCTTCGGTGGGCAAACCGGCGTCAGATGAAGATCGTTGTTGCACCACAGGCAATAATGGAATCTCTCGCGCACCTTGTATGCGGACTCGGAGAGGCCATACGGGGTCCATGGGCCTGTCTGAGCTGCTGCACCGGGCCCGGGGCTAGAAACGGTGTGTGTCTTCGGCTTGCCGCGCCCTTGGCCTCTGTCGGCGCGGCCACCTTCCCGGGCGGCTGCGAATCTGTCTCCTTCACTGGCAGACGCCGCCTCGCTGGTTTGGTCTAACGGCGCTGCCGCTGCGACCACGGCCACTCGTGGCCGATGTTGGTTCCCGCTCGGGCCTGACGCAGAAGAACGGAGGTTCTTGGCCTCCTTGTTCGTAACGATCATCTGCGCAGCCTTGTCGAATAGTTCCGTCGTCGTCGTCAAGGTGTCCTCGACATGTGTCAGGGCATTGCTCAATCCCGGACATGACCTTGAGATGAAATAGTGGCGGATGGCCTTGAAGCCCATCTGGATGTCTGGGACTGACGTCAAGCGTTGGTACTCGGCGATCCAGTCCGTACTCGGCAGCGAGCCTTGCTCGAAGACCATAAGCTTGTCCATGGCTTTGATCTCTGGCGGCTCCACCTGGAACCGTTTGTGCCACGCTGCCTTCAGATCATCCCAGTTGATCATGGTATGCAAGTCCGCTGCTACCACTCCGTACTTGGACAACAAGTTGTCCAACCACGCCTGACACGCGCCCCCAGAGCGAGAGTACAAGTAAGCGTGGTGCTTGTTTTCCTTGACGTTGTGGAGCTGCAGCGTGAGCTCAAACTTGCGAAACCATGGAATCGGATCTGTCTTGATTGAGTCGTGGAAGATTTCCTGCCCATCGATCTTAGGAGTCTCACGCGGCTCCGGACTCGAGGTGGTGGCGGTAGTGCAGATCCGCTGCTGCAATTGTTGCGTCGCGGTCTGCTGTAACTGTGCGCCATCCTGGAGGGAGCCGACGTGCATCTCCAATGCGGTGAGGCGGTCGGCAGTATTGGAAGAGCCTGCGTCGGCGGCGGCGACTGGTCGCTGCTCCACCCGCTTAAGGCGGTCTTGGAGCTGAGCTACCGAGTTGTTGAGACCAAGGATCTCCGCCTGCTATGTAATGCAGGTTGCCAGGAGATCTGTGAGATGCGAGAGGAGGAGCGCTATCTTGTTTGCGCTGTCCTCCAACTGGTTGTTCCCGGCCTCGCTTCGCCATTCTGCTGCCATGGTAAGTAACGCCCGCTCTTCGGTGAATATCTTCTCACGACGCTGTGTTCTTTCTTCATCATCAGCCCTTGCTGTTGCCTCATCGTGCTGGCGCTGTTGTTGCACGGCCAGCAGACGTGCCTGTTCGGCATCCTCTGCCCTTTTCTTGGCTGCTGCGGCAGCGTCATCTGCCCGCTTCTTTGTCTCGGTACTCCAGGCTAACATGCGGGCCTGAWWGGCCTCGTCTGTYTCCCCGGCCTTCTGGTCCATGACTGYTGTCTGTGAACGCAACAGCATAGACCAGACTGGTGCCTGCTGATGTGGTATCCCTTGCTGCTGACGTGGCAATGCTGACGTGTCCTGCTGACGTGTCCTGCTGACGTGGCCTGCTGACGTGGCCTGCTGACGTGGTCTGCTGACGTACTTACGTAGCCTGCTGACGTGTCGTGCTGACGTGGTCTGCTGACGTGGTAACTTACCAATGCCGTCACAAGGGGTACCCGGGGACAACCAGAAACGGCAAGGCGAGAGATGGCAACAACGTAGGTGGGGAGGGGGTGGGTGGGATAATCGCCCAACTCACACTTAGATAAGGAGCCACTAATCAAACCAGAAAAGTTTGAACTTTGCAACAAAAATTTCTAGAAACTAAAAAAAATAAAAATCCTGATTTTTGCAAGTTCGGTAGGTCTCCCAATCTCCCTTGAAGTACGAAATGATCTTTGAAAGCGAAAAAAAATTCGACTTTAGACTGCAACCGATTTATAGAACCAACTGACAGAATCCAAGAACTGCGAAAAAAGTCCAAACAGAAATGACAACTATTCGGATTTATTCCGATGGGAATATTCGCAGTTTGAAAAAAAATAATACGTGCAGGAGGTATTTCCCGTACCGTTTTCAGAAAAACGAATTTCAGACAAGAAGATATTCCGAAGTTCTAAGTACGGGAAATGCAACAGAAAATCGAAACTTTCAAAAAGAAATATATTCCGGATTTTTAACAACGAAATTTCGAATTTTCAGAAAGAAAAACGAAAATAGGAATTTCAGATGTTGCGATATAGCAGAAAATCAAATCCGAGAAAAGAAAAAAAAATCGATTTTTTTTTTTGTAGTAAGGTCAAGATCGTGATTTTGGGGTCTAACTAGTATGTCCTAATCAACAGAAAAGACTAACTAGCTTTCTTGATCCCCGCACACGTGTCAGATCAGATAGTCCTGATTCACGTGCAAAAGCTCCGATACCAACTGTTACATGCACAGATATGCCATGTACGTAATAAACCGAGAATCTGCAATGTGATGAAAAGGACTGAATAGACAATGCGGTACGAGTAGAATCT